TGTTTCTAATCCTACTTGATGTTGAGTAAAAGGAGTTTTTCTGAAGATCAACCACACATAAAATGTATGATGTATGCACCACAATCTTCTCTGTGCTTTTAAAAAGATTTTGTTTTGACTGCTAATATGACAGATACATGAATTCTTCACAAATATGCAAAAACTAGCTTGGCCAGCTTTATGACTGGACGCTACTCTGACTCACTGCATCATCTTTTTTTGGCTTGGCTTTTAACCCAGACTAGAAATATTAATTTTATTTGATTTTTATTGTCCTTTCGATGTTCATGTTCAGCTCTGAGTCTGGAGAGTCTGGTCAGTGATTTTGAGTGTGGAGTAGATTTGGTCCTGGTCTCTGGTGGCTCCATTAAGGTTCTGGTAGTTTGAGGCTTTACATGTAGAAACTGGACTAAAGTCCTTAAAGTGCACTTTCTAAAAAACAGACAAATATTCATTATTAATTATACAATCTGAATCTTTTCTAGAACATTTACACAGAGGCTGAAAGCAGCTTCATTTCATCCATTTAGAGAATTGTGGCAGCAACACTGAAGATGATCTGCAGTTAAGGACAGCAGATGATCTCTGGCATCCTACGTACTCGAGACACGGAGGAGACAACTTCATCGGTGTTACTACAGGAGGCGTTGCTGGGAGAGACACGGGCCTTGTTAAGAAAACTCAGTGCACTATGGGTGAGTTTGTTTGAGTTGTCTGTCGCCTGAAAAGAGAGAAAAGAAGCCAATGAACAGAAGTCAGTGTAGGAGAAATCTGCTCTCTTTCTAGTCCCTGTCAGGACTCTTGCTGCAGCATTTTGGATCAGCTGAAGGCTTTTCAGGGAGTTTTTAGGACTTCCTGATAATAATGTATTACAGTCGTCCAGCCTGGAAGTAATAAATGCATGAACTTGTTTTTCAGCGTCACTCTGAGACAGGATATTTCTAATGTGTGTGTGCATGCGTGCATATGTGTGAAAGCCCTGAAACCAAACATTCAAACAATGGTTAACACACTAGTGTTGATCACACCAGGCAGTGTGGACAGTTGTCCTGACAGAACATCTGGACCCCCATCAAGATCACCTGAATCACAACAATTCAAACATCATAGAAAACAAAGAGGGTTGATGAGTTGATGAGAAATCATGAGACCCAGTTGGTTCCAAAAGTAGCCAAGACCAAGAAGCCGAGAACAGCAGTGTGCTGTGTGAGAAACATGGATGAAAGTCTGCACCAGTGTCCAGAGCCTCCCACTACCACCACCAGCAGC